CCCCCGGCCGCCCCCGCTCCACGCAGCGCTGCCACCACGGGGGACACCCGCTGAGGCAGGCTGCCCCGCTATTCCTCCTTGGGGTTACCCACAAAAGCATGGGGCACCCCGGGGTCAGGACCGCGTGCTGGGGGGGGGCATACCTGCACATCGCGCACGTCCTGCGTGCCCACGTTGCCTGGCAGGGAGGCCACGCTGTCCTGGCCGAAGCCCAGCGAGCCGCGGTAATTCACTGGGGTTGTGGAAGCGTCAGAGCCCTTCCTCCCCCTGCCCCGGCCCCCACCGTGGGCGCCGTGCCACCCAGCACTGCTCAGGACCCCCGGCATCACTCACCCAGCAGCACGGCGAAGCCCACGCGGCACAGCGCTGCCGGGTACAGCATCCATCCGGCCGTGAAGACGGAGTGGGGACCCCCTGCAAAAGGAAAAGGGGGGGTGATACTGCCCGGCTAGGGCAGGGGCACAGCAAGGGGAGGAGGGGGCAAGCTCTTACCATGGGGCATCACGACCAGGGGGTGCTTCTGGGCGGTGGGGCCCTCACTTGGGCGCAGCAGGATGGCATCGAAGTCCAGGCCCCCTGCGGAGGCGGTGTGGGGAGGTCAGAGCTCGGCGGGGGCGGTGGAGCCCAGCCGTACTGGGGTTACTCACCGTACTGGGGGTGCTCCTGCGCTGGCGGGGGCCGCAGTGTGCGGATACCCCAGCTGATGCCAGGCACGGGGGGGGCGTCCTGCAGGCAGACCCACTGCACCTGCGCCTCCAGGCCAGCACTGGGCAGGACAGCCACTTTCTGCACGGGGAGAAGGGTTGGTGTCAGCCCCGAGAGGGGCTGATGGGCACTGGGGAGGGAGCAGCACCTTACCAGTGTGTGGGGGCAGCTAGGGGTGGAGAACCTGGCCACCAAGATGTCCCGGTCAATGGTGAGGACAGACCAGCTTCCCTGGGGGGCATCTGGGAAGGAGCGAGGTCAGACCTGTAGGCATGACCCCCACCCCAGCCCTGGCACCAGCATGGCCCCACCAGCCTGGCACTCACCGGCCGTCAGCGAGGTCGTGGCGCCCGTCACCGTGTCCACCACGAACATGACCTAGGGGCATGAGGGCAGAGTCCAGCACAGCCCTGACCCAACCCGGCC